CTAAGCGAGGCACCACTGTATATTATTGTTGGGAAAATTCCGTTTCCTTCCAGCTCCTGTGAAGATTTCAGCCAAGAACAAGGAATGTGTGAGATGTGTGTGACATAATCATCCCTGCCCATCTGAAAGTCCCTGTGATTTGAGCTCATGAGCTCTGCTTCTGCTACAGCACTCAGTCACTCAAGCATCATAGAAGTGCAACAAAAATGTTTTTAAAATGGTAATGCAGAGCAAATCTTTTTCAGTATAAACAAACCATAAGTGTAAAGACTGGTACAGAAAAGACAACTCTATCCACCTTGCTAGAAAAATTGACAGTTTTGGAACCACATTTTCAGTGAGACTTTTATAGTGGGATATATCTGATTTGCATGCTCAGTGTCACATTCAAAAAACAGAAAACAACATCAATGCACAACTACATTGGTTTCTGGTGATTTAATCTTTGGCAGGTAGATTGCAGTTTTCCTGCATGCCATTTTTGCAGTTATTAGTGTAACATTATAGCACCATTCAAATGATCCTCCAAACTACGTATAGTTTGTAGCACTGCGACTGAGTGCTATGCATGCGTCAGAATTTCTTATTTCCTATTTAAATCAAATCACAGTTTGATTTCCGATAATGTCAAGAACAGCAGGCAACATTTTGCGTGGTCTCTCAAACACGCATGAAACTTACTTTTAAAAATAACTAAAGCAGCTGCAAAATGGTGCATCTTAATGCTATCTCAACTGGGCAGGATACTGGGAGGGACAACATGGTGAACAATATCTCCAGAGTAGTTGTAGAACCAGGCTGTAAACGAGATTAGAAGTGATCCATGGGGAGCTGGTTTGCCACCATGCATTCAAGTATCTTACTCGGAAAAGATGTAGACAGAAAGCTATTCAGATTAGAGTGTTTGTTCTGAAGAGACACTTAGCAATAGCTGCCACAAAGGTTTTTGAAATCTCTCCCACCCCTTAAAAGAACAGGACACTCTCTGAACTGCACTGTGTCCAATTTTGGGGGCCAAGATAGATAGGAATTAAGATTAACTGTGATGAATCTTGCATCTCTTCAAGATCTTGTTCACATTCTCAGTGTATTAGTTTGCTATCTGACATCCAGCCTCCTGGGATCTATGTTTTACTGAATCGGCTGGAATGAAAATTGCATTTAGGACTGAGGTGCCAAAGAAAAAAGTAGAATGACTTCTAATTTCTTTTGAGTAGCACTCATGCCCCTCCCAGATTATATACAAATCCCTCAAAATAATTTCTCTGGTATATAAACATACCCTTAATGTTATATGGTTTCATTGGATATACAATGTCTCTCACATGAACCAAATAATGTTGCTAATGGTTAACAAAACTGCACTGATTTATAGCATAAGGGAGGATACAGCCAAGGTGGTTAGTACGATTGTGTTTGGTGAATATTTTCATATTTCTTTTGTTT